GCAATCACCACTGCCATCAATTTCAGATCATTTTAGTTCTTCTTGTGCTCATTGTTGTTAGCTCCCCAATTCCCCCTAATCTCCCCTGTCGGACTCTCAAGGGACCATTAATCCAGTGACTGCCTTGATAGATTTACCTATTCTGGATTTCATATACAGAATTTTTTTAAAGTTACTCAATAATACCATAGTAAAACCAAAGCCCTAAAACAACACCAAAGAAAAACCTCAATCAAAAAGCAGAAAATATTAAACACTAAAACAAATGGGTCAAAAGGGAGCTCAAATGTTAAGATGCCAAATTTTAACCTAACTGCATCTGTCATGCTCCATTTTCTAATGCATTCTGCATAATAGCAAGGCTATTCACATCCCAGGCCTATGGGCAGAGGGGATTCACCAGAGGCTTAACCCACACGCTAGCATTTCCTTTTTTATGTCTTTGGATGCTCCTCTCTCTGCTTTTCTTCTCCACCTGCTCTTCCATGGTGCCCACTGTTCCCTTGAGAGCCCTTTTCCTGTCAATGATAGTTATCATAAATTCCCTGCCTGAAAATCCCAACATCGATTTCCTGTCTGACGCTGGCTTTTTCTCTTCAGATACTTTGTCCCCTTGCCCAGTTGGTATGCTTTATAATTTATTTGTTGAAACTGAGACATGATGGCTTGCATAATAAGAACAGAGGTAAATAGTTATATAGGGTCAGGTTTATGTTGCTCTTGCAAAATTTGGGCACTCCATTTTATGTTTGTTATAACTGTAGGGGCTGTAACAATGGTTTCAAGCCTACCAACAATTGTGAGGATGACAGAGGATGACGCAGTGTTTTTTTCCTGCTGAACACAGGGTTGCTATGAGTCTGAACCGACTTGATGGCGCCTAACAACAGCAAGATCACTGTAGTTGCTTCACATTCCTCTCCTGTCTCTGTTTCTGTCACCCCATGGACTTTAGGCTTTCCAAACAGCTCCTCCCTAGAGTCTGTGCTTTGCAATCTTTTCACTTACAAAAACCAGAAGCAAACGCCCTGCCATCGAGTCAATGCAGACTCATAGTGACCCCCCCTGTGGGTTTCCAAGACTATAACTGCTAACAGGAGTAGAAAGCCTCGTCTTTCTCCCACAGAGCTGCTGATGATCTTGAACTGCTGACCTTGTGGTTAGCAGCCCTTGTGGTTAGCAGCCCAATGCATAATCACTCTGCCACCAGGGCTCCTTCGCAGCTACCATCTACTGTTATTATACTGTCAATGTGGTGGTATGGTATGGGGGAAGGGGGCAGCATTCTGTAAACTTATGGATACATTTCAGCCTTCTAGAAAGTGTCTCCCAGGACTGTGGCCATCACAACTGTTCCTTATCTTTGTTTTTTCCTCTCTCCCTTTACATAAGGCAAGCAGCCTAGAAGGGACTAGAGTGTGAGAAATGTCCTTTCCTCAGAGCTAAGGGTCTGTTCAGTCTTTGTCCCTGGGGAGTAGGCCTCTGCTATGAAGAAGGCTCTGGGGACGTTTCGAATGATCACTCTCTTCCCCACCCTCCAGAGCCTCATGGAGATCTTGCTCAGCCCTTCACCACTAGCAGAGTGCACCAAGCCCACGACCGTGTGGGC